TAACGAAAATGAAAAGCATTATGATTAGCGAAAATGATTAAGTCTTAAACAGATAAAATGATACAGGAATACAGCTCCCTCCTGAAGAAAATCCGATATGTAAAGCAAAAAATGTAATTCTGCTTTGAAAGAATGAAAGTTCCAGAAACACAATATCCAGTGTCGCATACACTGTGTGATAACATTTCATGGTAGATTTCTACCATATTTTTATTTTTATTCTATTTCAAAGCCGTCTGCCGACAGTGATTCGTCAACGCTACTCATTTATAAATTTTCCACTCAGTTTGACTGAATGTCTTTTTAATATCAGTTATTACTCCGGAAAAAATACCAAGCGTTCTTCAGTTCTAAATAGCATGATAACCAAAAGTCGACTCCATTTGGGTATTATGAGCGTGGAAGTCAAAATAAAACTAACGACTGTCTGCGAAGAGGAGCGCTTTACGTCTCACATTTGTATGAGGTGCGCAAACGTAGACGTAGTTCTTCTCTGTAATCATTATAAACTGAGACGAGTGCTACTGCGCTTGTTTTCTCTCGCTGTCACCATCCTCAAATACTGGTATTAAACACTTACCGCCAGGCTATCTTATTCTTTGCTGGACCGTTAATAACCATCTTCAGTGTCTAAGTAGCCCTCAATTCTGAGACAAAATAGCATCGACTTAAACGATCCAGGCTCCGGTTTCGATAATTTTGTGACCCGGGTTGTTTTTTTACCTCAACGTGGTAGACATTTATTCTAGGTCATTAAGCCGCTACCCTGTTATTTAACTTGCTTGATGTATGGGGCCTTGGGTAACGGCAGGTCTGTGGGGGGAAGGGAGGGGAGGGGGGCTAGATTACCCTCCACTTCTACGGGACGTGTGTCTATTTTAGAGGGTTGGTATCATATGGATATGTCTGAAGTGATTCCTTTTTCTTTTCTCTTTTCCACGTTCGCTTAAATAACACCAAAAAATGGACGACATTCTTCTTATATTTCCTCCTTTCTCTCTCTCCCCCCTCTCTCTCTCTCTCTTTTTCCTTTCACTCTCTCTCTATCTCTCTCTCTCTCTCTTTCTAATGTTCTTTTTGACTATAGAAACGTATTTTTTTTGTTCCTGAATTCGGTCTTATTTTTTCGCCCACTTGCTAATAATTTACTTGAATATTTGCTATCGAGGTGCGTCTTGTTTGATAATTATGTATAAACTTGACTATTGTCAACATTACGTGAGTCGTTTAGAGATTTGACAGAATTAAAAAAAATTATTGCTGAATCAACACGGAACGCACATTGACAACCTTATGTAATTCAATAGATGTATTGAGCTACGTTTTAGCATGACAGTTGCATAGTTTATTACATTGTCTCAGTCAGTGTTTTTGCCAACAAATAAATAAATAAACAGATGAAACGAATAGATTACAGAAATGCATCGTCTCGACTAAGTATGCTCCTCAATAGCACATCAAGACTATGTATTATAACCTAAAACAATCTAGTTTGAGAGGAAAAAGCTCTCATAATTTGAAACACCATTTACATCATTTCAGCGAAAACTGATTGTGTATAAACTGACAATTTAAATGCATTTTTCCAGGCACACATGTACTTTTTGTCTTGTATTTAGCCTCTTTCCATTGTAGATTGTTACTATAAAATGTGTGTGGTCCTTGAGGTTTTTATAAGTAACACGGGCCGATGGCAAGAATTACCGAATTACTGAAGAAAAGAAAATGTTTTTGGTTTTGTTATTTTATTTTCTGTAGATGTGCATATTCTTTGAAAATAGTAACAGTACTGTCTGTTTAGTTTCGTCTTCACTGTTAACAATGTCGGATGATCATCCATCAGTTAGTTGATCGTGAAGAACAGTGTATTATATCTATCCAGAAAGCTGAGTGTTTATAAAATCTATTTTACATTCTTGGACATTACAACTTATACGCACGACTTAGAACTGAATTTCGTTACAAGAGCTGTTGATTATAGCACATTCTCTTGGTCTATCTGTCCGAAAGCTCTCGTAACGGCTTTCGAATTTTCAGTCGTGCGTGTTAGTTTTAAAACTTGAAACATGCCAAAGCAACAGTTAGGTGTCAATGGACGTATTTTTCATTATAGTCTGTTACAGACACACGTAAAATTCTCTTCATGTTAAAACATTACCATAACTAAATTCATCACTTTTTTAACTTTTGACACAAGTAAGGCGACTTGCTTTACTCGTCCTTTTTTCTGTCTACGTTGTACTTTTTTTAATGTATATTGTTTTGCGCCTTAGTTTAACAATGTACAAAGGACGCAGATGGAGACGCGGAGGGGATGTGAACATAACGACACATCATTTTAGTGACATCAGTGTCATAACACAAAACCCAGCGTCTGTCGCAGAAAGACAAGTAGTGCTTTAAGTGTTTCATTAGCCTAGACCACCCACATGGATACAACATTTGTATTTTCAGGTAAAGGCGGTCAACCGTGGTGGGATAGTCTGAAGTTTTGAGGTTTGGAGAAAGCTTTCCTTTTTTAAGGTAGGCGTTTATTTTTCTTTGTTAGAGTGTAATTTCCAAGAGAATGGTATTTTGAAAAAATAATAATTTGAAAACATAAATATTGTGATTTAGTTTTTATATGGCTCTTAGGGGCAAAGGGAGTTAGGTGACCTTCTTTAAAATGTTTTAAAAGAAGATCCGGTTGTTTTACCAAATATAATTTTCTTAGTGTTTAAATACAAACGAAATTTTAAAATTAAGAAAGTGTTGATATAAAACGTGATATATTGAGTGAAAGCAGGCCACAAACGTTTTTAACTCGTTGTGCAATAGACAATCACGTCTTTATAATTTTTCCCCTTTTCTAAAGTTTTCTCATCGTGAAAAAACGAAAGGTATCTTCATAGGCACTTGATTTTTAAATTCTTAATTATAAGTTAAGTTGTGTAACTGGCCATGGTATAGCGATGATAAGAAAAAATGTCGACCATTATCGATTATTTCATAATACGATAAAAATTACTTAAAGGCGGTGGTGGCATTGATAATCTCTGATTTCTGGTAGAAATAATAATAATAATAATAATAATAATAATAATAATAATAATAAGCCCCTTGAACGTTTAACAGTACGCACGTTACGTGTCTCGCGTTAAAGACGCTTTGTTCAAATTTATAATACTTCATGGTACATAACACATTTTCCTATAATCATCCTTGTAGAGGGGTTTGGAACTTAGTTCTTCTCTCCGCTGAATTTTCTGATACATTCTCAGCCGGTTGGCTCTTTTTTTATTTTTTCAATGTGAAATATATTTTAATGTCGGTGGTCACAAATTCTCTCCGATAATCATTGTGAAGCGAGGAGGTACATATAAGAGGAGATGTGTCCGATCTATTTCGTCATTTGAGCCCAGATCCCGTTACCGGGTATACATATGTATATGCCGTGTGTATATATGCGGTATATGTGCATGTAGGTATATTTGGAGGTGGTACTTTTAACGCACTCCCTGAGCCATAACTAGGAACGTTCTGTAGGAACTAACATTTGAGCTGTATAACTGTCGTCTTTATTTTCCTTGCTCTAGAGAAAAAAGATAGATTTGATTAATCATGAGATATGAATAATTTATCCAGTGATGATGTTCAGATCTATCGATGCGCATAAACAAAATATATTATTTAAAGGTTTTCTGTTCAGGACCTTCCCGCATAATCACATTTTCCTTGAAATAAAAAAATTCACTATCTCCTACCCATAAATTACTGACATTGACACATCCTTGCATCGGGATTTCATGTTTTATGCCATTTTTGATTAATTGATTTGGTTCTAAAGTTCCCTGTAACCGCCATTTTTAATGTACATTTCAGAAGGGAAATTCTAACATAAGGTACTTTAATTTGAGGGATTTTATCGTTTTTAAGGCCTGAAGTGGGAAAGATAAGTACTAGTAGCAGTGTCAATATGTTCGATAGGCATAGAAAATATAAATTTGGGACATTATCAGACTCGGATTGTATATCTTTAATATTCAGGAAGCGTAATAAAAGCGAATATGAAAAGTTGAATTTTCAGTTGAAACAATAAAAAATAACAGAAAAATAACCAAGGTAGATCTAATAGCCATGTCTTTTGAGAAAAATAATGACGTGTATGTAGATATAGAGTTTCTGTAACTCAATAGTCAAGAAAGAAAAGCAGAAAAATTTTGGTCTAGTTAGAACTGATTAATTCCTCAACACACTTAAACATATGCTGAAATAATCTAAGTAGTCTTTAATGTACATTAACACATTTGTGCGCATGCCTTTTCAATATATATTGTGTGTTTATATAGTATAAAAGAGAAGAGAAGAGAATTTAAAACGTTTGAAAAGACATAAAAATTTGAGGTACAAGTAAATCTGAATTGAGCGTCTCTATCATTATCTTAAAACTACCCGCCATGTTTCGGCTAGCTGTCTGTGCTTTCAGTTTTGTTTTCATTTATTTATTTTTAGTTTTAGTTTTTTTTTTCATTTTGAATAGAATAAGGAAATTGCCTGCCTGTGTAAAATAAATGCAGCTTTAATTAAGCACATGGAAGACCTAAGGCGAAAACATCTCATGTTTAGTTGTTCGTGTTCGCTTGTTTGTTTGTTTGTTTGTTTTTTTTTCTGCACCGCAATTAGTATTCTCCTGACAGTCTGCAGTCTGTCTTTTAAAACGGGCTTCTTATACCGTATTACGCAATTAAGGGTATTTGGCAGCACTTATTTTCTGGAGCATCCTGTGGCTCTCAATAATTCCAATCCCTTCAGGGAAGAACTTGGACCGGGACCAACATTCCGTTTCGCAAAACGGAGGATTGCTCCCATACTTCTACCTCCCATCTATCAGAGTACAATGTTTTTATATCGTTTCGTTTTTAATGCGAGTTGCCCATTACTGGCTGTTGCAGTGTCATCGTTGCTAGATGGCGCTGTGAGTAAAAGCCAACCAATGAGAAACCTGATCTCATTTTAACAAGAGTAGAGAATGACACTATGGTAAATAATCGAGTTGATATCTTCTTAAATGCAAAAGGAAACTTATCATTTACCAAATGCGTGTACTAGTACAGTTTATGTGTGAAAGGGACCTTAAGAGAAGAGATATACCAACATGTTTAAGTGCAACGATCACAGAAACGTACCAGTGCAGCGACTTCTGACATTTCACTAGCGTAACTGTGACGCGCACGCATCGAAATAATGTGACATTGGTTCCACGAGATTTGAAATGACCCACTACAGTGAGGACTCACGGGTGATACCATTCCAGTACTTTTGATGGGACAATTTTACTTATTTTGATACCCACACACCATAGGAGAGACGTTGACGTGATCAAGAACTGGATTGCTTTTAATATAGGGAACTGGTGGTTGACAACGGCCTAATAGTAATAAAGGGAGGGCGTTGATGTGTATATGTTACGCAGCCGGGACGGAGCGGATGTGGTAGTCGCCAAAGATAACTGCTTTCCCGTGTCAGTGCTACACAGGCTTGACTTAATGAACCCCCTCGTCAACTAACGGGGCGGGGCTGGGAGCCGAAAATGATGTAAGAGAACACGGATTCTCATTAAAGTCCCATTATTATGGTCCGCCCCCCTGGATAAGGCAAATTGGCCATCATCACGACAGGAGTCCATTTTTATCGGGGTACCTATCTGGAGTGCACCCAAAACCCGCCCTGCACGACAGCCCATTTCATATGTATATGTATCCATCTACCTGCATATTTTATCAAGCCATTTCATCTCAGTCCTTCACTTTACTGACAAGGTACGTGGTCGAGGCGGGGGTCATTTCGGTGTACTCGTCGTTCACGACCCCGGACGCTCACACCACCATCTGGACATTGTCCACCGTGACAGGGGGACATCTCTTGGGACGCTATCAATGGACACTTGTGGACGCAGCAATTTTCAAAAACAGATACCTAAAAGGTAGTAAGGATTTAATCTTAATTAGAAAGAATTAATTTGGGTTGTTGTAACATCACATACTGGACGTATGTCCACTACGTTTGATACTGTTCAGGAAGTCAGCGGAAACGCACCGAGTGACCAGTAAGGGGCCTTTCCTGCGAATGTCCAGCTGCAAATGACCATTGATTTGAGAAAGGAATCCTTGAACTGAAGAAATTTAACTGTGAAGGAACTTCTGTCCCAAAAGAGAGAGACCAATCCATAAACGTTTATACGTAAGGGGCACGCAGAGTAAGGAAACGGAAACGGCTTGGTGAGTCACCAAGTTTTTTTAAAGTATATGTCTAATTGTTTTTATATAAAGCTGGTTTTCATTACGAGGCTGGGCAGGGAAGGGTCATATGCATAGAAATGGATAAGCGCCAAACGTGTATTATTCCTCTCCGGTCGTTCCGTTCTGGGTTAATGCTCAATTTTTGTATGTGGCGATTAATCTATAAACCATTATCCGCACATTGGATTTTAGTGTAACTGTGACACATACAAGCTTAATGTATTTTTCAATCTTCTGAAAGATTCCGTGTCTTTTATTATTATTATTTGTGTCTCCTGGTTAGTGGTGAAAAAGGCTCCCGACTTTTTCATCCATTTTGTCCAAAAGTCCCTATTAGCTGACTATTTATATACTAATTATATAAGTCTGTTTGTTTGTTTGTTTGTTTGTTTGTTTTAAGTTATAAAACACCCATGGCAGCGGATGATAAATTGTGGCTCTGTTGTTTGCACTGAATGAACACTAAAGTGAACTTTGTAGCGCACTTTGTGACATGCACGGGGAAAAGAAAGATGATAGCAGTGATAAATCTGTAAAATGTATTTATTGTTGCGGTGGACACGAAGCCCATTGAGAAGAGTTTACAAAGTCTGGTATTTAATCTTAGGCAAAATAGAAAAGAAAAAAACTCGCTTTTGCACGATTTGGCATAGTTATTATTAAAACTATTGATTATTAATGCTTTAGTGAACACTGTTTATGTAATTGAATTTTTTTTTGTTTTGTTTTTTTTATGAGTTTTGAATAAGCGTTGCAAAACGTGTAATAAATATCAGCGTACTTAGTACACAAACTTATATTTAACCTATTTTCATTTATATGTTTCCTTGTAGCTTACTATTCATCTAACTTATTATGAATTAATGCAAAACATTCGCAGGATGGGAAAAACTTAGAGGTATCATTCGGGGTGAAAATGAAATAATAAATCTATGCTTTACCTCATGGGCATCATGACAGATACAGGTAGATTAAAAAAGCGACAGGTGAAAAATTTGAAGAATGAAAACGTGCAAAAATAGAAGAAAATTATTCGATGAAAACACGAGAGCTATTCAGGTAGGAGATAAGAGAGGTGCCACAGCGCTGTAATTACGCACTAACACCGGATAACGACTAGGTTGGAACAATGGAGGTTATCTCTTGACGCAGACGACAGGTGTACATCGTACATCGTCTGCCGCAAAAGTGACGTTTTCATAAAGAATCGGAGGGAAATTGGGGGAAAGTGGATCTATAGGAGTTTGTTTTTGCTGCGTAAATTGAATCCCTAACAGTGATTGCGTTTGTAATGACATGTTGTTTCTCCTCCTGTTATAACAATTGCCACGCCAGGTATAATTCGAGGATCTATCACTTCCCGAGGCAAACCACCTCTGCGCTCGCATTTGGGGATATTGACATACATGTACTTGAAAGACGGAAAGAACTTCAAGCTACACCATCATCTTTTGTTCGTCATAAACATTGATTATAAACTGTCATTTTTTCTTTTGCGTAGAAACAATGACTGATTACACGTAATTCCTGCTACCACGGACTGTTATGAGCGACGATTTGCTATAGGCAGATGTTTTATTACTAACTCCAAGTTGGATGCATTATTTCATTAATGGAAGAAACAATTCCCACTTATCTTCTTTGTGATTCTGTGCGTGATGAACTTATTTCCTAAACGGAAAATAAGGAATTAACGAATCTGGGTCATTTTTTGAAATGTTGGGAAAACTTAACATCAGTATAGGCAAAATTGTTGCAAATGTAAAATAACAGTGCATGTCTGTATGGCGGAATCAGAATTAAGATAGGGAGGATAAGCTACACTATGACAGTGTAGTATTGCGCGTTACAATCCCGGTTGCGAGAAAAGTCGTCTGTTTGGACCTAAAAACCCAAATTTAATATAAAATAATACGATGTGGATGCAAAATACAGGGATGAGATTTTTTCGACTATCATCGGATTTCCTACTTTTTGGGAGCCAAAAATATCATCGGCTTATGCGGCCCCTGGACGATTTTTTTTACTAAATGGCAGCCTGAAACAAAATAAATAGCAATTCCCTTTATAATGAATCAAAAAAGCATAAGCAGCAACAGGGGTACTTTGCTGTTCTTTGAAATTTATTACAGTAATACCATAGCATATTAACTTTTGATTTAATATGTTTTATATTTTATCAAAATGCTTGAATAGTAAATCGATAGTGATTGCTTTCTTCAAACTTACGTATCTTTATGTAGAACGGGGGAAGATATCACCCATTTATTTTATGCTTTTGCTATTTATTCAGCACTTTCTTCATCTTTCTTCATGCCAATGTAGAAAACGAAATGCAATGGAAAGTGGCGTGAAAGATTACGAAACGTGTCAGTTGTTTTACGGACAGCATATCGTACTTGGAGAGATCTATTCTTTCGAGAAAAAAAATTAAATACACATGAAGATAGATAAATGCACTGACTGATTGAACTGTTTATATATTTATGAGACTGTGGTAAACAATCAAACAAAAGAGGTTAACATATATTCAAACAAGGAGCACATATAGATTTTTAAAAAGTCTCTCATTTCAGCTGCATGTGCCCACATGAAATAAAAGGTGTATTACAACCAGCATCTTTTTTTTTTTTTCACATTCGAGAGCCCCCTTTATAGGACCCTGAATAGTGGCGTCTTCCAGACGTTGTGGGGGCGCGGTGCTTCATGTTCGAGATAATAAATGTTCACGTATCGCTCTCTCAATGCGCCGGTCCTTTTATTGTTGAGGCCAATTATGTACTTAATGTATGATTAAACCATTGATTTATGTGCTAGATTTACAGGCTTTTTTCTTTTCGTTCACGCGTCAGGTGAAAAAAATTGCCAGTTTGAAGCCGATTATTTACGGCTACTTGCGACCCATTGGTTCTTTACTTAAATGCCAATATGGCTTTATTGGACTGGTCACTAAACATACTTGAGACGACCATACACCGGCCATACGTACAGCGGCGACGACTGGTTTATTACGATTCAGAGGCCCCAAAGGGAGCAGTGTATTAAAAAAAGAGTGGAACCTGATAAATAATAAGAAAAAAAAACACGTGGTAAGATAACGGCAGTGAAATTAGCAAACTTATGAATTAAATAATAGCAAGACTGGTAAACAGAAAAGAAATGTCATATTTGCCAATACAATGAGGAAAATGTCGTTCGGAGAATATTTGTGGTCCAAGCGTGACGAAAGACTACTTTAATAATAGCACCACCCTGTTTTACTGAATGTTTTAGAGGTATTCTTAAATTCAATATCGTTGCGTACGTCTATTTGCATCGGCGAATGATCTCATTTTTAAATAAGTAAATAAATAAGCACCACATACAGATTTTACAATTTAGTGGTAAAACCTTCAATGTATAGACAGGGAACAGCACATTAGTACTAATATTTCCGGGTTTTCCTCTTCCTTTATTACCAACCACGCACAACATGTTGCGGCATCCGAACTGATGACTGCTTTTTATGTAGATGATAAGTCGTCTGGTATCAGTTTATCTTTAATAGTATATTTCTGACGTACTGGAAACTAATTATGGAAATTAGATTAATATTTTTTTTTAATATTTTTATAGAATCCTGTTGACTGTTCCGTCTTTACTTCGTCTAGATTTGCTTGGGTTGATAATCTCAGAAACGGATGGATTTAATTCTCTATGCAGTTATTGACTTGGCTGAGGTCGTAGTGTTGTTTTGCAAACGTCACAGACATACAGTAGTAGCGGCCGAGATCACAATTTATAATTATGCTAATCATCTGATCAAACTGTTTACGTACCCAATGAAACTAATTTCCCCAATTTTTTTTTTTTTTTACTCTTTGATAGTACGTCTGTGTCAAGGACAATGCAATGACTTGTGTGCGCGGGGGGGGGTCCATTAATCTAGATTATGGCAAATTTTATGAAAAATTTATGTCCACTCGCCCATGAAACGAGAGCTAAAATTGGCTGACCGAATGGTTTAGATCTTGACCGGGGTTTCACCTTAATGACGTCACCTTTCTGTAAAGACTTCAGCACCCTGTACACTGGACAGGGTGTTTTATACGTCTTTTCTGCGTCCTTTGTGCCACCATCAAACTGTCATCGGTGTGGTCCTAGAAAGGAGGCATAAGTTTCTCTTGGTTGCAGAATAAATGCTCAATGATCATTCAATTGTCGGCACGAAAAGTATTATTTTTTACTCCCAAACGGGGCTGTACTTCGGGACGCAGAAAGAACGTCGTCCAGTGTAAAAGGGGGTTTAGCGATTTTACAACAGTCCGAATTCCCTCCTAGATAAATAATTACAGACATTTATTTAGCTATGCTTATCCACACATTTATTTAAGTCTTATATTTGTTTTATACGTAATTTTCAAGCAGTCCACAGCTGCCATCATAATTTATTCCACTAGTTGTACATGCAATGTAACGTTAATTAGGACCTCTTATTGTGCGAAAAATCATGTTTAAAAAATATTAGCGACTTGCTCGCCTTTTAGTGCAAATTTTATAAATTTTGTTATGTCGTTTAATTTCATTTATTTAATTACATTCATATGAGCGAAATTTGTAAGCAAAAAAGAATAAACAGAAAAAATAAAATAAGGAATTGTAATCATAGACAGTTGAATTGATTCTACAAAATCTGTATTACATAATTAGACTTCAATCTGCCCCTAAAAACGCTTGTAAATAACATCCTTTAATGCACTAGCTTACCTATTACAATGTTATCTTAAATTATATAATATAGAAGTCTATATTAGTTTAGAGCGAAATAGAAAACAACCACCGTTTATCAAGCGAAAGACTTTGATGTTTTTTAAAATGAAAAGAGTTATGGTGTAAATATTTATGCTTAGGTTTTGATCTTTTTATTTCATTAAAAACAAAAAAAAAATAGTTACAGATATCTTGAAAGATATTGAGGTAATTTTTTTGTTGAGCCTTAT